TTTATTCAATTCCTTCAAACTATAAAAGCAAAACAATTTCTTCTACTGATGAGAGTGAATGAAGAGTCAGAAGATTTGGGATTATAGATTAAATGGTTTTAGGAAAGACAAAATAGATTTGGCTATATCTTTACCAATAAATAAATAGCATAAACATATAACACACTGAACATTATCAAATCTAATTCTAATGTTTTTAATAAACACAACATAATTCAACCTTTTAATGAGGTGATTTGCTGGTACAATAAGTTACTCCAAATCTTAGTTTATGAAAATGAGAAATACTTGAATAGTTACAAAAGATAATACTAAAAGTCCATTTGTCTAAACATACTTTTCATACAGACATGTCTTAAATCAGAATGAATCCCCCGATGGTCAAAACAACCTAGGGATCTTTTTCTTTAAAATGCTGTTATTAATGTAACGAAACATTTTGTCACAAATAGCATCTGAGCATAAGGAACTTGAGGTATTTTTTACTAAAGGTAAGAAAAATTAAGCCTTAATCACTTGTGTTGCCCAACGTGACATTCTTCAGAATACAGAAAGATTAAAGTTATCTGGAGGACCACTTAAACATACCAGGAAAGTAAAAGTCAAACAGGTAGCCTGTGAGCCTGACTAAATAAAAGCCTAAGTCTCACAGGCCAGATGTCTGCTGCTACTCCCCAACCCACTCTGTATAACCACCATTACAGTCCATTTCCAAAGGTCAAATCATGAAACAATAGCATACCTCTAAGTGAAGATGTCTGATGGACTACTGTGCATGATTAACCACAGCTAATTATAAATCAGACAGTTCATCTTCGTATCCAAGCTCGGCTCAGGAGCACCTGTGCACATTCCTAATCTCATTCTAAATCCTAAACCCACCTGTACGGTTAAATTAGCTGTGTGATCAGGATGAATTTAACTGAGAGAGCCCTTCTGGTGGAAATGTTTTCCAAGATATTTACCTCACCCAAACTACCAGAACTTTTTAAATACACTGCTGGCAACAACTTATTCTAGAAAAAAGTCCTAACAGAACAACTTATACTACTATCATATTTATACTGATGAGGATTTTTTCCTTTCAGCACTCCTAGTTAAGGCAAACAGCAGGAAAGGACACTCTATAAGAACCAGCACTACCCTGAAGCACTGTTCTTACCTGAGAACTGCCAAGATCAGAAAATACTTAGAATAAACATTCTCACAAATAGTCTGGGGCCCACAGCTCTCCAAGTAAAGAGTCACCATTAGGTAGTGTGGTTGATTTTGTGTGCTCGCTGCTGAGCCCTAAATAGGAGAACCAGGCGCAAACTACAAAGCAGTATTTTTTCAGTAAACCAGCTTGTGCAAGCAAACCCTTGAGACAAAGTATGTATTCAGAGTTGCTCTGAGACTGCCTCAAGTGTCACTCAACAGGGCATTTGCATCACTGGTGACGTAGCACTTGCATGAAGTGCACCCTGACTCATTCGAACACTGTCAGCAGTTACAAAACAAGAAAACATTTCTGCGAATTAAAGGAACTTCTAACTAAATACTGCATCTTTGTTTTAAATATCATATCATATAATCCAAATGCAATAGAACAGGAGTGATTTCTCTAGAAAAAAACCATTTTCACATACAAACTATTTCAACTTATAGAAATGAGTTTAAAATAAAACTGATTTAAAAAAAATAAAAAAACTGATAGTACTGATCACTGATTTCTCTTTTTTCTCAGCTGATCACTTCTATCTTAAACCAACTGAGGGTAAGTTTTATTTATTTTTATGCTATTTAAGATACAAATTTACCAGGGATACAGCTCAGTGGCACAGTGTCTGCCTGGCAAGCACAAAGTCACTAAGTTTGATTCCTGGTACCAAAAAAAAAAAAAGTTGGATTAAACTACAAATTTACTGAATGAACTGAAGATATTATCTTTGTTTTTAGGGCTTCGTTGGGGTAAGATTTTTATAATTTTATGGATAAAAGTAACAATGTCAGAAAAGGTAAGAATAACACCTCTGAACTATAAAAGCTTATAATAGACCAATCCAACTGATCTATCCAATTATATCTCATGAGTTATAAACTCAATTTCCTCTAAAACCTTTTTATTTAAATTCATGCCTCTCCAAAAAGGTATTCTTTACAGAATACCCAGTTATCTCACATAGTTTATGTTTACAGAAATATATGCAATATTAGTTTTAGAAATTTCAAACACTAAAGTCTACCTCTACTGAAGGCTTACTTCCATTTCATGGACAATTCACAATGAACAATAAAAACAACCTACTGTAAAATTACCAAACCCAGTCATAGCTGACCTCAAGGAAAGTTAATGCATCTCCTAACACAGGTCATCAGCTTGCTTGGTGGAAACGTGGTAAACTTGGAGACTTCTGTTTTAGCTCTCACTCAAGTTTGCTTTCATTTAAAACATTATAACAAAAATACAGAAGCTAAAAAGGAACATTTTTTAAAAAATCAATATAGTTAAAATTACATAGAGTATGTGTTTACTTTAATCTCCCAAGAGAGAAGCTGAAGAATCACAGTGCTTTCGATCCCAATTGCAAGAAAGTGGATCTTCACCCACCAGTTTCCCTTCCAACATGTTCCCCTCCCCTGGAGCTACTTCTACCTTCAGCTACTTGTATCAGGCTGTCAGCAGTCACAGGAGAAATATGAAGCTCCATATTTCAGAAAAGACAGCTGGTTCAATTTATCAGCATTTAAGTGTAACAGAAGTACATTATTTTCTACCCCTAACCCACACAATCATATCCATATTAACACATTAGCAATAAAATAACCATAAAATAGGATACATGGGGAGGGGCAAGGAAATAATCACCATGAAAATGTCTTCATATAATAACTATAATCGGTATTGTCTGTTTCAACAGAAATAATTCCATCGCTGTGTTGCCGGAAGTTATACATGGTTAGTAAAAATGTCCAAATATCTCTCAAGCACTACTGAATATTACTTTTAAAGACAATTATGCCCTTTAGTACATTCAGCATATTTGTGTTTGAAATGCTTTAGGAGGCTCAAGGACCTCTGCTGGTGAAACAAATACTGATTTGTTCAAGATTAAGGTCAAATGAACTGTGTCTGTGGCAAAATCATGTCAGCAGTTTCGGCAGTGCCAGCCCAACGGGCATGGCCCTTCCAGCTCCAGTCACAGCAACCCTGGCTGACATGAGCACTGTTCATGGAACACGAGCTTCTCAGGTGCACCCCACGAGTAACAGATCACAAAAAATCATAACCTAAGAGGAAACAGAGATTCAATCCAAGCTGGGTTCTTTACCAGATAGAACCCTAGACAGCATTTCAATATATCTATTTCTCCATCTGTGAGAGTAATACCACCTTAATTATAGGACTTTGGTAAAAATTCTGATATAATACAGATATTAAATGTTTATCTATTATTACTACTCACTTTACTATATGTATATAAAGGAAAAGAATATTCTTTATACCTAAGATATATGTATATAAAGGAAAAGAAAGTTCTTTATACCTAAGATATAAGAACACCAAAAAGGAAGGAAATATCTGGTGGTATAGGAGCAGGTAGGTCTTAAGCTAATGTTTTCATCTGGTTTTTCCTATTCAGATGGTGCTGAATATTTACAGTTATCAGAAGATTATATGCTTCTAGCTTATCTACAAATGAAAGTTTTATCATTTTTCATACTGTATAAAAGTTCCAGTGAAAACTCCAAAACATCACAAAGACTTTGTGATCTACAAGCCAGTCATTTGCTTTAGTCATACTTTAAATAAAATTTTAACATTACATAATGTCTTTATTACTTTCAGTTTAAATATATCAAAACTATTAAACATAAATGCCATTTTTCATAAAGGTGCTCACATTTTCCTTAGAGCCTCTCTAAGTAGTGTCAAATTCAGAGAGTCCTATTTCATGCCAAAGGGACATATTTTTTTCTTGCCAAACACTAAAAGTCAAAGCTCTTTCCTGCTAGGGCAAGGTCTGCAACTTCCCACCCAAGGGGAATTCATCTTTATCAAATACAAGTCTCTTATGACACAGCCCAGAGACCAGGGATAGTAGATTTTAAACAATTATTACCCTCTTCCAACAAGTTCAGGGTATTCTGAAATACGTGTAAATGTTTCTCAGCAGACCTTTAAGGCAGACTACGGTGGAAAGGCCTCTTGTCAGCTCAGTTCAGTTACCAACAAGAAAATTCTAATAGCAAACCAGTAAGAATCAAAACAAAACAAAAAACCACTCGTTTTATGTTCCCCTATTTCAGTTCTCAAGATAGAGTAATCCCAATCCCACTCTCAAACATCTGAAGAAAACCACCATGTCTCTGCTCCCCCAGCTTCCCTCCCTTCAGATGCCCATCTATATTCCATTTGGAATGAAGGACCATTCCTTCTTAGGATGGGAGCTGGAATGACGGGGTTTCCAATGGCTCTATGGCCTGGATGTGGTGCAGAGGACCACTGGGACAATAGTGTTACTTTTCTTCTTCCTTACTTTCAAGAAACAGTACACCAATCTTCTGCTTTCTTGATTTAGAAAGTTAATCACACATCTCTATAAAATTTTCTTCAACCTTAACATTCCCTAAGAAAAACACTGGATGGGTGTGGTGACACATGCCTGTAATCCCAGCACTCATGGGGCTGAGGCAGGAAGACTGCTATGAGTCTGAGGCCAGCTTGGGCTACAAAGTAAGTTCAAGGCCAGCCTGAACTACACAGTGAGAACCTGTCTCAAAAAGATTAAAAAAAAAAAAAAAAAAAGACCAAAAATAGAGCCGGTGACATAGCTCAGTGGACTAAACACCTGCTCTGGCAAGCACAGGGACCAGGATTCAATCCTGGGTCCCCCATGCCTACACTGACCCCATAACCAGGGTGCACTGAGCCAGCCACAGAGACCAGGTGTGGTGGTGCAGGCCTCTAATCCCAGCTCTGGGGGGGCTGAAAACAGAAAGATCACTACAAGTCTGAGCTGTATAGTGAGAACCTGTACCAAAGACATAAAATGAAAAAGAAAAATAAATAAGCAAAAACAAACAAAGCACTGTCATCACAAGGACCACCCTCAGACTTGGCCTGACTTCAATTTCTTTCCATTCCTTTCTACATCCATTTTTAATCAATTTGTGGCACATAAAAGTTATAATAGAATAAACTTTCCACAAATTACTAACTCCCTGGACAGATTAAGTTTAGGATTTCTGAAAATGAGAATATGAATGCTTACTTTAATTGACCTTATTGGACAAAAAAAACCCTATAACTTATGAAACTGCTGACTCCAAGTCAAGAATACACAAAGTTTTCACTTTTTTCAGATTAGTAAGACAAAAAGAACTAAATGGAAAACAGAAGTTACAGCTAATTGGGGATTTATTTTTATTCTAGTTACAATTTGTCAAAGAACATCAGTTATTTAAATTTGGCCTATGGCATGCTTAAATAGAACATATACAAAATATTACCATATCAAATCCTTTTGACCAGAAAGATGAAAATTTTTATGACATTTACTCATTTTATTCTGATGTCAAACCTTCCAAATATAAATATTCTGAGTGTGAATAAAATGATTCATGGGTGACCTTGCCCACACTGTCCCCACACAAGATCTGTGACTCTCCTCCTCGGATGTGCTCTGTGATGGCCTCTGAGGACCTGCAGCGCAGGCTAGGGGCTCCGGCAGTCAGCCTCCAAGCCCTCGCTCCAGTGTGCGTCTCGCTTCTCTGCCACGAGGTGGATGAACTGCGCATGGCTAGCGTACAGCTTCAGCTTGTCGCTGATGTCCACCCACTTCACTTTCCCAGCATCGTCCCCAGCTTCCAGGGCAAGGTTGTCCATGATCTCACCTGGTCATTAGGAAACCACCATCAAAAAAAAGAATTTGCCTTTTCTGCATAACTATCTATTCAAGCAACACAAACCAGAAGCCATATAGGAAGTACTATTACATTTATACACACACAGAAGAGTATTTATTAAAATATTTTAGTTATAATTATTAAAAAGTAAAATAAGTGCTGTCACGGAATGCAAGTCGCATATTTCCAAAGGACAATTAGGCAATGTTTATCATAAGTTGTTAGAAAAGAAATACATACTTCAGAGTAATGAAATAATATTTTTAAAATATTTTCCCCTTTATATCATCTATTTTCTAAACAACTTTTAGTTACCTTTACCTGTATAAAAACTACCTTTATAAAAAGAACTAATTTACATCTTAGCGCACAGATGTCCCAATCCCAATCCCTCAGGGGTAGTTCTGTGTGTATCCTCACTGCACCTACATCTGACTTACTGGCAAAGAAACAGAACTACAAAGCCAACCTGAAGCACTGGGGTGTAGCTCAGAAGTACAGCACTCACCTAGCATGCACAAGGCTCTGGGTTCCAACCCAGCATTACAAAAGAAAGTCAGTCCAAATCCAAAGGTTAAACAGAAGCATCAAATTATCTAAGTAACAATTTCCTCTAATGTCATTTAAAAAAGAACTCAGAATGTCTAAAATGTTCTTTTACTTGTCCTTCGGGTCACTAAATTATACAAAATGAAAGGGAGAAAGTCTAACATGCAGAGTTCGGGAATCAGCACTTCCATCTATACAACAAGAGTTGAACTGAAAATTAATAATTCTACTTAGCTCCATCAAAGAACTGAAGGCACACAGACACCCTCTCTTTTAGTGGGGAGAAAGGAAAGGCAACCATTCTGAAATATGCCCACAGCACGCTGCCTTCATGGAAGACTAGCTCCTCCTCCCCTTCTCATTCTTAGGGTAGATGGGAAGGCTAGTGGGGGCCGCAGAGGCTGGCTAGGGGGCTGACCAACCTCTTCTCCTAGGCTGGCCAGACCTTGCTAAGCTACTTGTATAAATGTGATTCTAAGTTATACCTGCAATTTCTCTTAAATTCTCTACACCACAAGAATAAACCTTTAATAGAATAGAAAAGGTGGCTAGTAGTTTCGCCAAGTCCGACAAACAAAAGCTCTAGTGTAAAAGTGACAGGTCTTCCAGGTTTAGCCTAAGTCCAAAAGGGCAAGTGATTTGCACAAAGTTACACAGCTCCTAAAGAAGCCAGGTAGGGGCTGGTGAGATGGCACAGTGGTCTAAAGCACCTACTTAGAACAAGCTTAGCAAAGCACAGGGACCGCGGTTCAATCCCCCAGCACCACATGCCAGCCAGCCCCGCCCCCTGGTGGGCTGAGCTGGCCACACACACAGAAATAAAAAAAAATTTAGAAAGAAAGAAAGAAAGAAAGAAAGAAAGAAAGAAAGAAAGAAAGAAAGAAAGAAAGAAGCCAGGTAAAGAACACTCAGTTCTCTGGTAAAGCCCCACTCCACTATGCCACACATAAATAACAAACAAAATGTCTTCCCACATAACAGAACACACTTCAACAGAAACCCTTCAACAAGTAAAGACTATAATTTTTGTAATAGCAGATTTCCTTCTCATAGTAAGATATGACTTTGCTCAATAAATTATAAAATCCATGAAGCAGATATTTTAAGTTTTCTTTACAACTTGTAATATTTTTGGTACTGTTCTGTGCTTTAATAAAGCATGTTTTTTTAAAAAAAAAATCTAGAGTATAAATATAGATCCCACTTCTTTTACCATAGCCATTCTTTCTATCCAAATGCTCAGTTGCTTGTTTTATATAAATAGAATCATGCTATACAAATAACATGGGACCTTAAAGTATATCCTTTAAGTCCATAAACCCAAGCTTCATCTTCTAAGCTAACATCAAGTTAAAGAAATTTTAGTCACTGGCAGTAACATTTTTGAGGCTTCATTCCATGAGTTCCTGGGGGCCTGCCAGTTAGTTCAGTTGTTTAAGCACCTGCTCATGCAAATGCAGTCAGGCGCAGCATACCATGGTTTGATCCTCACCCCCACCTGCCTTACCATACTCACTCTTAAGGCAGGCTGAGCCAGCCAAAAACAAACAAAAAAAAAAAAAAAAAAAAAAAAAAAAAAAAAAAACAACCATGAGTTCCTTCAGTACCACCAACTCTGCTTTCATATACACACTGTGTAACCCTACAGTCAACAGTCATTTGGCTTGCAATGCTAACATAGTGCAGAGGTAATCATGCCCTAGTGGGCTGCTAGGCTTAAACTGATCCTCCAATTCCCATCCATGTAATTGATAGAAATTACCTGTCTCATCATGGTAATTCACAGCTTCTGTCTCCATCCATGCATTGTCAGTGTTTCGAGGATCATCAACATAGCCCTTATATATCTATTTTTAAAGGAGGCAGATAGTTAGCCAGATGTGATGATACACATCTGTAATCCCAGCACTCTGTGGAGTTGAGGCAGGAGGATCACAAGTTTGAGCCCAGCCTGAGCAATTTAGTAACTCAGTAAGCCCTGTCTTAAAATTAGAAAGGTGCTGGAGATGTAGCTCAGTACAAAAGCTCTGAATCCAATGCTCAGTACCTACCCCCCAAAACAGGCTAGGATGAAACAAGAGTGGATAGAACAGAAGCATGTTACATTCACTAGATTCAAAAAGACTGCCGCATAATACTTAACAACTGTACACATAAAAGTAGTTACAGTGGTAAATTTTGTTGTTAACCAAAAACTTATAAAAATAAATGTAAATACAAAATTGTTCATATGCTTTTGGTAGTCATTTGATTTAAACTACTCAGAATAATATCCTTTTCTGAGGTATATAAAAATACACAAAACCTTCAACACCTCAGACTCTTAATTTCAAAATGTGAGAGGGGCTGCAGGTATAGCTCAGGAGTACAGTACTGAGCAGCTGGAGGACCTGCCCTCCCCAGGACTACAAGAACAGGGAGAACACTCAGATTTTGGCCATAGGATTTTTTAAAAGGTCCTATAATTTAAGCCCTTCTCCTTATAGTGATTCCTGTGATTATAGTTTCATAAATAGAAGGGCAGATTCTTCTAGATAAACATATGAGATCTATAATTAAAATTAAAGATTAATATTTAAGACAAATTCACGGAAAGATCTGCATCCTACAATCCCAGCTACTGGAAGGCTGAGACAAGAGGATTACACTTTCACGCCCAGTCTAGACAACTCAACTCCACAAGACCCTTTCTCAAGATAACATCATATAAATAAATAAAAGGCCTGGGGCTATCTATATAATGCAGTCTAAAGGTTCTGGGTTCAATCCCTACTGTCACACACACACACAATAAAAATTGGATCTAGTCATCTGACATACATATAATCCAAAGTATGTGGGCAAAATTTATAAAAAATTAAGAAATACAAATCCTGCAAAGAAAATAAAGCATTCTAAGGAAAAGCAACAAAAGTAAAAATCTATTCTTATTGGTGCACAAGTACTTCATAAGGTAATTTTTTAATTGTAGAGATATACAGACAAAAGTGAAATGATATTTAAATGGTTATCCACCAGTAAAATTCTCTATCATATAATTTAAAAAGTAAATGCCCTTTCAGAGAAAGTTGGATTCATTAACTTACAAAAAGGTTTTCTGCTGGATGGACACACAACATGTAAAAATAATCCTATTATATTAGCTTATTCCTAAAGAATAAATAAGAGGAAAAAAGAATAAAT